GCCTGTGGAGTCGGACACAAATCCCGTTCATGGTATGCTTTCAGCATATTAACATGACATAATTGTTGTGCCTTACGGCGATCAGGGGTTGAAACAATATAATTCAAAGCATTGATTTTCTTAGCTATAATATACGGACCTTGATACCTTGCTTGCAAGGGAGAGCCTACAATTGGAAAGAGTACCAAAACTTTTTGCCCGATATCGAAGTGTCTGGTATGTGCTTTCTTATCATACCGAGACTTCATACGAATTTGGCTAGATTTCAAATTAGCACGTGCTATTTCATTGGCTTTCTGCAACCTAGCACGAAGCTCCGACACATGTTTTGTCACCAAAACACCACTAGTGGGATGTGAATTCAATCCCATCATCCACTTCTTTCAACAATTGCAAAGGACCTCTAACAGAATGTCCAAAAATTAATTGAAAGGGACTAAACCCAAGAGATTCTTGCAGAGTCTCTCTTGCAGCAAATAATACAAACGGAATACCCCAGGCCCGTAGCCAGGGGGGGTTTTTATGGTTCGGGCGAACCCCCCTTTTCTAGCGAACCCCCCTGTTTTCTAGCGAACCCCCTCGAATTTTTGAATGAGTCCCACCCGTTTTTAATTGTAGCCTGCATTACAAGCCCTGTCTCTTATACACATCTAGATGTGTATAAGAGATAGACACAAACCTGGGTGATGGAAAATTGGGCAATGCAAAGTATACAAGTGGACAAGTAGGCCATATCGTATTTACCAGCATACAACCAGCAGCTAAATATCCGTTTGATGTGCTATAAAGAGTAATGAGAGCAGCTTGATCGAATACTGTCTCTTATACACATCTAGATGTGTATAAGAGACAGGATTTAATCTTGCCTTGATTTACGGTATTACATATGAATCGGTATGTTCTGAGTACTTAATTGAGGAGCATACTCGGGTGTTTATATAAAGGGCCAATCAAGTTGCAACTAGCCGTTTTACTGCGTGCGTTCTGAAAAGTAACAAGGGTTTCCATAAGTCTAGGAATTGAATCGGAAAGAATTAATCATTACGGATGAGCTCCATAATGTATTTGTATTAGTTTCTTGATTGACCTATCTGTGATGTTCTTTGGAAAATAAAAATTATACTGGCGAGTCGAGTGCCCGAGAGGTAAGGCAGAGGCGCCGCTAGCTACAGCCTTAACATCGTATTGTGAAACATACTGCCAATATGCAATTTGTAGTGTTACAGGATTTAAGATGGCTGGTTCAAACCAAGGATGTGTGGTAATGCACCCATTGTGGTATGGCTCTTCATTGTTTTTTTGCATAAACTTTTCAATCTGTTAAAAAAATATGGAACATGAATTCATGAAAACTTAAAAAATATTTAATCTGCAATACAACACAGGTAATGTAATACACGCCTTTTCCACAGTGCAGTAGTACTAGTAGTACTCTAGACTAGCATTGCTTTATTTACCATATGAGAGTTTCCTGTGTTAAAAACATGATTTATACTACACTTATTGATACTTGTACTTTATAATAAGAGAAATCTCATACTATGCTACTGCACTGTAATGCTTAGGCCTATTTTAATACACTACTTTAGATAGGGTTTTCTTTTTCCATCTTGATTTCAGAGGTCAAAAACATTTTTCAATTTTTTTTTCAATCATATAGTGGTGTAGAATAGTCTTTTGAGAACATTTTCCAGAAAAAAATAAGGTGGTACGACCCTCCGTTATGAAGTTTTAGATAACATGAGGACAAGAATTCTGCTTCAAAGCTTATTTTCATGGTAGGGAGGAAGATTTTTTTTTTCTGGCTAACATGCGGATGGGTGGTAAATAGACCTATATATTTAATGGAATTTTGTAAAAAAAAAAAAATCATTCAAGTCAGTGGCCTCTCTGATGGTTGGGAGGGGATGCTAACCAATTCTTTTATTTTACATGGCCTTAATTTGTATATTAATCGAATGGTTCTTACTTCTTGAGAACAGGAATGATTTCCCCACATCTCTTCCACGACGCAGTTTCCACAAGTACACCTGAAAATAACAGAAACGCATTTTTTTTTTATTAAACTAATGATTTTATAGAACATAATAGAAAGACTAGGCCCAATTATCATAACTCAGACAGGTTCTATTTCCCCAAATGGAAGCCCAGGGTATGATTTTAATGGCTCAGTTGACTTCTAGTCTACAAATACTTTCAGAAAAAAAATATCAAAGATACGCTTTAAATTATGCATGCAATGTTAAAATATTCCGTTTGGTTTTCCATCCATACAACTTTAAATAGAGCATGCTGATGTCAGATTTAAAAGGATATTTTTTTTTATTTGGTTAAAATGGAATTCCCCTGGGTATACACCCACCAACTAACTAGGCTAAAATAGGCCAAACATGGCAATAGGCCTTAGTCTATTCATCTATTTTCTCTATGGTCTATTAGTATTTAGTACCACCCTAACCCTCCCTACAGTATAGGCCTAGCCAAAGATGGCCTAGCCTAGATAGGCAAAGAAGGGCTATCCTAGGCATATAGACCTCGCTAGACTAGGCCTAGGCTATAACAGGCCTAGCCTAGGAAGGTAGACCCCAGACTATGAATTGGCTAGGCCTATTTAGAAGCCTCCACCCAAACAAAAAAATGCCATAAAAACCGTCCGCGCAATTGGAAAAATAAGGGCCAATTTTCACGCAGATTTTTCCGAAAAAATCTTTTAGACTAGGCCTAGGCCTAGGCCGGTAAGCCTGGCCGTACGGCGCTCTACCCTCTAGCTAGGCCTAAGCTTTGCTTTGACATAATATATAATAAATCTGCTAAGGGATGTCAAACAACCAGTATATGATGTTCAAAAAACATGTGATATGAATAAAATTACCATTCCTGTCTTGCCGCACGTTTATATTTCCCGGTAAACCTAGGCGAATAAGTTCACCAAGTTCATCATCATCAGCAACAGCGACGGGCCTGGCCCTTGCTTGGTTCATCGTCGCCAATAAATGCCATAATTTGGCCAAAATTTACAATAAGCCTACGAGGCTCCGCAGCTTTTTCTTCATCGGATGATGATGACTGATTGTCACTTGCCATAAGATCGGTCAATTAATATTAATAATAATTGGAATTGTGATGAACACTATAAAATCCGCGAGACCAAAATGGCTACAGCTAAAAACTTGTGTATTGTGGATTTCACTAAATTTCACGCATGCGTGAAATCAAAGATACTAGAAATACAAGATAGAGTTCTCCACACAAAAAAAGTGTTCCACCGAAATGCATGGTGGGAATACGAAAAATGGGACGCCCCTTACAGCTAGATCTAAAAAAAACTTGTGCCAAACTTTCGTTACCAAGTCGTCGCGTATTTTATTATCAATTCGCAACAAAGATACTAGATATAAACAAACTGGAATAGACACCCAGACAGTGACATCGGTGAATACATAACCTCCTTGGTGGCGGTAGAAATCGTTGCTATTATCCAAATAATACACAAAACAATTAAAGCATTATCATGAATCAGTAAAGAATAAAACAACAATACAGCACAGAATCGCATGGCCGGACGCACTCTTCTACCCCATTCAGACTAGCTTCGCATTGCGATCGGTTGTAGCAATTGCGACACCCAATCGCACCCAATCGCAAAGTAAAATCGTGTCTGAAAGCTCACCAATAGTAGTCGATATGTAATCGATATAGATGTGTATAAGAGACAGACACACCACAACAATTGTTACCCGTTGCGATTGGGTGCTACAATCTTTATTACTCCCGATTACCACGGAATCCGATCGCAACGAATCACAACGAATTCCACAGGCACTGTTTGGGAGTACTGCCAAAGTGCGAGCCAGCGAGTCATGCGAGCCAATGCGCGAGCCATGCGAGCCAGCGAGCCATGCGAGCCAGCGAGTCACGCGAGCCACCGAGCCATGCGAACCATATATAATATATATATAAATATATATATATATATATATATTTTTTTTATGTAAACACGTAGGCCTAGCATATATCTTTTTTCCCCCTAGTTAGATGCAAATGACTAACACACCGGGGAGCTTTGCCTGTGTAGTCCAGTCATGCGCTGTACATGCACTTTTGGATTTCGTTACTTTTCCGAAAGTATGCAGCGTTGATAGATACAGATATACAGATACATACATACAGGTATATTTATATATATATATAT